CCATCAGCACTCTACATTGGGCAAACAGGCCGGTCACTATGCCAAAGGATAAATGGACATAAATCAGACATTAGCAATGGGAATACCCTAAAAATGGTAGCAGAACATTTCAAGCTCCCTGGGCATTCCATCTCAAAACAGCAGTCCTTGAACAAAAGAACTACAAAAATAGATTGGAAAGAGAAACAGCAGAATTGGAGTTCATCCATAAACTACAGTCTCTCAGCAATGGATTGAACAGAGACAATGGCTTTCTGACCCACTACACACATTTCAACACTATCTGCTCCTATCCTCTGAATGGGCATCCTACACTCGTAAATCCACGACTCATGGGTTCTCCTCATGCTAACCGGGTCTGCAGGAGCCAACCTTCTTTTTCAGGTCTCTTCCACTGAATTCCTGTCCTCCTCTCTGTCCCTAACTTCCACTCCACCACAAGCATCTGAAGAAGTAGCCTGAAGTCTACAAAACCTCATGCTTACAACTTCTAGTCTTAAAGGTGCTGTAAAATCTATCTACAAATAATATTGACTATACAGACTAACATATCTATATCTTTGAATTCTAATTAATTTTAGTTACTTTCAGAATTTTATTTTAACTTTTGTAATATAAGATTTTGGCTGAATTTTGTTTTAAATTGTGAGCTACTTTGGCTTGCATGCTGGGAGAAAGGTGGGCTATCAAATAAATAACAGGCAAACTTAATTTTTATACCCATTATTCTGCTGGCCTTGTTTTGGCTAATGCTTACCAAATTAATTTATTTCACCATATAGACCAATTCCTATGTTTTCATTGTTCCTTATTAAATAGAGGGTTGTAGTAGAAACCATAGGTACTGCTGCTAATATCTGCACTCCCTGGCTGGAAAATGTTGGTCAGCATATGCTAGCACAATCTCTTGTTATGCCAGCATATCTCCTTTTCTGGTGGTTGCAGAAGGAAGTATCTAGTACCTCCTTGCACAATAATCCCTCTCCCTGAGTTCAACCCCCATTCGGCCCCCAACTCCATCCTAGACTCTAACCAAAAACTGGCTAATAGACACCACCCCAGCACCTTAGGGCCATAGAATCATAGAGTTGGAAGGGGCCTCATGGGCCACCAACTCCAACCCTCTGCTTAATACAGGATCTCCAGCTAATACATCCCCAGCAGGTAGCTGTCCAGACTCCTTTTGAACACATTCAGAGAAGGCAACCCCACCACCGTTCTGCAACCAATTGCCTAGAGAGGTGGTGGAGTCTCTTTCTCTGGGTGTGCTCACATTCACAGAGGAACAACTCTAGCATTTATAATTTACTTCTCATTAGATTTATTTTAATAGATTTAACAGGAAGGTTTAATTTCTGTTTCAAAATCTATTTGCTGAAGCTTTCTTCAAAATTTGCACACAATATCATGGAAGCTCTAATTTTCCATCTTTCTAGAGGCATATATCTAATTTTCCATACTTCCCCCAGACATCTAGATTCCGTTAAATGTAATAGTGGTTCTCTCCTGGAAAGTTCTGTTGATCAAAAAGAAGGCTGGGAAAAGCAAGGGCAACTAAACTGCATTGACCCCATCCCCTTTTTTGGCAAACAGAATTCTTAACTGTGGGCCGACAGTCTATGGTCCAAAAGCAGTGCATGTCCAAAAAGGAATCTCACTATCCTAGTGACATCCAACTTCTGTCATTCACCATAGTCCCACCACTGCTCCCAAATATTTATTTAAGCCCTTAAAATTTAAAGCTCCTCTTAGTATTTAATACTATTGCTCTGCTTCTTAGGCAGTAAGCAGAGCTTTCCCTTAATATTTCATCTAGTAGTTCCTCTGCAAGTTAAGCCCATTGTCTGCTGGCCTTTCCTCTGTAGCAAACAATGGTACAGGGATTTCCCTTCCTCTCTCAGAGTCTTTAGAAATGTGAAAGTTCTTATTGTGCCTCACCTTAATCTTCTCCCTCTGCCCCTAACAAACTTCTGGATGCACTTAATGTGTATGTTGCTTCAGAAAGTTGCTTCTTTGGAGGTTTTTAAAGAAAAGGTGGATGGGCATCTGTTAGGAGTGCTTTGATTGTGTCTTCCTGCATGGCAGGGGGTTGGACTGGATGCCCTTGTGGTCTCTTCCAACTCTAGGATTCTATGCTTTTAGCATGTTGATACAAAAGAGGAAGGAGGAAGAAATTATTGGTTAAGTGAAACTTGGGTTTAAAATATACTAAATTATTGCAAATAATTTGGTCAATCCTTTGTTTTTTTATCACAGATGCTGTGAGGCATCAAGAGCTCAATCCTGTTCTCCATTTACACTGGCAGGATGAGCACAAGATCCTTAGTGCTTTTGCACTGGAAAATCCTGAAGGTGCATTCAAGTTGGGGATCTAAGCCAATATAGCTCCTTGTTTACTCAGGTATAACATTCTGCCAGTGTAAATGCCAACCATGATGTACCAACAATAGTGATATAGATCTGCCAGTGTGAGTGCTAAAGATGGGTAGCACCAAGGAGTGTGGTGAGGAGACAAGTGGGACATTGAATCTTATATTTAGCCAGAACCTGACCCAGTGAGAGCATAGTATCACATTTAAAAGATGGTGGTGCAAGTTAAAGTAGCAGTGGCAGACAGTGGCTCCCATAATAGGGTGGTGGTGAGTCTACTCCAGGTTTCAAGGTACTATCAAAAGTGCTGAACGTTAGTCCCAGACTTGCATGGCACCATAATCTGGCCATAACCTAGAACAGATTCACTATTCCATTGACCTGAAATGGACTTGCTGCCCCATTGATTTGGGAGCCACCAACCACTGATGTAAAATAACCCTGTTGAACTTGGTAGCAGGGCTGGCATGTCCATTAGGCCATGGGTGAGAATCATGCAGCCTTCCAGATGTTGTGGGGCTGCAGCTCCCAGTGAGCCTAACCAGCCTAGCCATTGAGTAGGAGTGTTGGTAGCTGCAGTCCTGCAACATCTGGAGGGATGCCCATGTCACACCCTGCATTAGGCTGTGTGGTAGCTATCTCGGGCTGCAGAATTTGGATGTCATGAAAAACACAATAATTTATCTCCCACCCCCAACTTCTGTTTGTATGGCCAGGGATGGGGAGACATATTTGTTACGTTTTTTGCCTCATGTACCAAAGTAACTTAGCTGGCTGTAGATACTATGGAACTGTTAGGTGAGGTTGGGAGTTTGAGATGTCATTTGCTGTTAGGTCTCAGGCAGCAAAATGTCTTGGGTTGTCCTTGCTCAACAGAAAGTCTCAAACCATCTCATTTCCCATTTTCTTTCCATCTCCATGACCGAAAGTGCAACAGACAATAGGATTTTGACCCATTCTGCAGATGGGAGTCCTCCACTGCACCCTTCTCCATTTACTTCAGCTATTCAAGATGGGAATCTCAAGATGAGTAAAGCCTTTGAGAGTCTCCACTTTTAAACCACACCAGGCCTCAGCATCTGCACAGTACCCACTTTCTGTTTATTTGCCCTGCATTAAATGAAAAAGGAAGGATTCCTGACTCCTCCTTCTTCCCTGGTATGATCAATCATGTCATTGATTAAATATAGCTATTTGTCCATGTGTAATCTTCTCTGCTTGACTTTGGCACAAAAATCTTTTTTTTTAAGGTGGGCTTGGATTGGTGGGCTTCTCAGAACTCTTCCTGTTAGCTGGCTCCATATCCACCAAATCTGAAAGAAAGCAGATTAACAGAACAAAAAGAATCATACTGCTAAAGCATCCTGCCTATTTCCACTAACACCTCTCTCCCTCCTTTGGGGAGTACTGCTTGCTTTGTTTCAGTTATATGGATTTTTGCTACTTAAGGTTGATCACAAGCTATTATCTGCTATATGTGATTTCATAATCATCAGTCTGCATTTCTCTTTGCCCGACTCATTCCTAGACTTCTTTCTTAGACCCTTCTTTGGCAGTTTGCAATTGTCTGTATTATACTTTAATCACGTCAATTTGCAGGTTTCGTGATTGTATTTTATATATATATATATATATATATATATATATATATATATATTTAAAAACCTTTCTGTCCTTGGAGAGTTACACACTCACTAAATATTACATAAAGCCAAGCTGTTGAACAGATTTATTCTTAGCTGCATTTTGCAAGTAATAACTATAAACAGAGAGAAAGATGACAGATTTTTTAAATTTAACACACTGGACACACACATATACCTGGAATGCTTAAATGTCTAACAAGGCTGTTGGCACTCTACATCTCCTATCAGCCTTAGCTAATGGTGAATAGCTAATGGTGAACAATTGTGGGAGTTTCATTTCAACAACATCTGGGAAGGGCACATGACTCCTAACCCTGATTTATAGTCTCTTTCTGTTGTCTTTTAGACATATTGTGTTGTGCACCACATGCCTGCACTATTTGAAAATAGTGCTGGCAATGTTCTCATGCATAGTTTGCATAATAGTATGGTAAAACAACAAATACAAACCTAGATTTCACCCTAATCTACCAGCTTCAGAGAACAGGGTTCAAGCAACATGTCAGTATACTGTGTGATGTGCCTATGGCAGACCTGGGAACTGAAACTAGTAGCCCAAGATACAAAAAATTATGCCCGAGCCATCTCTTCTGGAGCTGGAAAACACTTGGGTCAACCTGGAACAGAGAGATACTTTGCTCTGCAGGTGTTATGGTGGCTGGCATCCTGTTGGTGTCTTATATGTGCATAAATTCCCCTTCAGAAGTTACTAGATTTTTTGTGCCATGGCTGTGTTTGGGTCAAGGTTAAGGAAGGGAAGTTGAGCATGGAGTGTCATTATGCTCATTGTGAGTGATGGCCATACACATTTGATGTTCCAGTTCACTAATGAGGTGCTGTGGGGTAACTCTTTCAGCATAAATTTATGCGCCATCTCATCAATGCAGGATATTAACCACTCATTTCAATAATTTATTTAGGTTTCTATACCCCATCCTTTTTTATTTCCACTTCTAAAATGTATTACTTTATGAGATTTGTATCCCATTGTGTGGTGTAGTGGTTTGAGCGTTAGACTATGATTCTGGAGAACAAGGTTTGAATCCCTGATCAACAATGGGAACCATAGTGGGTAACCTTGGGCAAGTCACACTGTTTCAACCTCAGAGGAAAGCAACCCACCCCCTGAACAAATCTTGCCAAGAAAACCTCATGTCTTAGGGTCACCATAAGTCAGAAACAACTTGGAAGACACATAGCAATAACAGCTATGCTCTAAGTGGCACCAAGTACCAGACAAGAGTCCCCCCTCCTCATCTTTTATCCTCACAACAACCCTGTGAGATAGGATAATTGAGAGGTCATGACTGGCCCAATATCACTCAATCAGTTTCATGAGTTTGAACTTATGTCTTCCAGCCCTAGTCTAACATGGTAACCATCACATTGAGTGATAAATTGGTATGATAGCAATAAAAATAGAGTATCAGTTTTAAAACCAGATCAAACCATATTTTTAAAGGACTGAAGAATTGAAAAGGTCATTGAGTAGTGTCAAAAGGTGTACTGTAAATATAAACATGTCTAGAACTTTTATCATGGAGGGACAGCCTTATGGAAGCATCCATAGTTTTTTGT